GCATTTGGCATTGACCCTGAGGCCAGATGACCTCCAGCAGAGAAGGGGCCTATCATGAGTTACAAATCTAACTGTTACCCTCAAGCTCCTCCAAGAACAGTAGCAAAAAGTCTGACAGTTTTGACAGCTGATAATATGGGAAGGTCCTGTGTGCCTTGCTCTTGCATGACACAAACTAGGTTCTGTGGTGCAGTGGACAAATGAAGGGATTGTCCATGTTCTTGATGCAGAGTGACAGAACAGAACTCCCTGGCTGGATAGCACAATGATATTCTTTTAAGACAGAACAGTTTTTGATGTCAAGCTCCATTTTTGTGCATGTGAATATGGAGAGATGTACATCCACATGCAATGACTATGCTTTTAGTTACCCTGAGGCCACTCTGCCTTGTATCAAATAAGCTTAGCAGAGGAGTCTTTGCGGCTTTAACTATACAACCCTGAACACATTATGTGTAGACATAATCTGATCTGTCTGGTTTCCCTTTCATTTATATGCATCTCTGTGGAAATACAATTAGTATTTGGCTGTATACAGCTAATTGATTGGATTCTCCCTGCCAAAAATAATCATTTCTTTTCCATGAAATGACTTCCGTAAATTAGAACCCTGTTCATAATGAGACCTACTGACACCCCTAGCCTACAAGAATTCACTCCAGGCATCGGTTATACCAAAGTCTGTTATTGCTCTGCTGCTTTATTTACCTGGTGATTTATGAGCACTGGACCCAAAGAGCAGCTGTATAATGCCATCCTCAGGCAAATATTCAAGTTTCTCTGTTTTTCCTTCACAGTCATTTCAGAGCATCCAATTAAGTTGGAGGACTGCAGCTCATTGCATAGAATGCACATGTAATTTGGTAGATCTTGAAATTTCTACCCATGCTACTGCTGTCCTTACAAAAGTGCACAGAGCCATAGCCATATAAAGGGAACAAGTGTATTAAATCTCCATTAAGGACAGGGAAACTCTAGGTCCCCACTCCACCAGCCCTCCATGTCATAGGTCCCTTCTACACTGCCATATAAATCCAGATTATCTGCCTTGAACTGGATTATATGGCAGCATAGACTCATATAATCCAGTTCTAAGTGGATAGTGTAGATTATCTGATTTGATAATCTGGATTATATGGCAGTGTAGAGCCCTAGATAGGGGTGGGTAACTTCCAGAAATCCATAGCCTGGGGCCCCTGTCCACATTCAAAAAGATTTTGTTTTTGCTCAAAAGCAATAATTTTTATTCCAAGGGATGTGGTGGCTAAAATAAAGTAATGCCCCCCTCTCTCAGGACACAACTTGCCATTTGGAGGGCTAGTTTTATTTTTCCCCAGCTAGCATGAAAAAGTGGGTTAGAAGTGGTTGGCCTTAACTGAACATTGTATTCTGTCCATAGGTCATACCACACCTGTTGTCCTGATTTGCCCTTCAAGAATAGCCTTAATACCATGTTGAAAGTAAATAAAAATATTTTACTTCAGCAAACACAAGAGAACAGCACACACAGTTGAAAAATGCAAAAGAAAGCAAGGAATTCTTAATGCAGACACAATACTCAAGTCTCTGATAAAGTCCAAAATAAACAGCAGTCTTACATCAGACAATGGACAGTTATCACTAAATCCTTAGAAGCAAACTCGAAGCAGGTACAATTGGAGTGAAGGCATAAGCATCAGAGTCGTTTCTTACCAGCGAAAGCTAACTGCTCCTGCTTCTGATTTATAGCCCTGAATTCCCCACGCAGGAGGTGCTAATAATAATAATAATAATAATAATAATAATAATAATAATAATACTTTATTTATACCCCACCACCATCTCCCCAAGGGACTCGGAGCAGCTTACATGAGGCCAAGCCCAACACTACATCAATAAACAAAAGCAATAAACAAAAACAATAAATACAATGCAATTAATATAAATCACATATAAACAATAACCAATAAACAGTAACACACAAGGATTTAAAAATCTATGGCCGGGCCAAATGTAATAGTTTAAAAATTAAAAAATAAATGCTGGGCATGAACAAGGTAGGATATAACTGGTATAGGGTTTTCAAAGAGAGATGAGGGAACACAGTCAATCCTAAACCAGTAGTAAAGTGCATTCTGAGGGCATATTGCTGAGAATTTTCTGGGAAGGCACACTGGAACAGCCACGTTTTCAGGCTCCCCCTAAAGACTGCCAGAGATGGGGCATGCCTGATGTCCTTGGGAAGTGAGTTCCAGAGTCTGGGGGCCACCACCGAGAAGGCCCTCTCCCTCGTCACCACCAATCGCATCTGCAAAGGAGGTGGGAGCACGAGCAGGGCCTCTCCAGATGATTGAAGAGATCATGTGGGTTCGTACACAGAAATGTGGTCACGCAGGTAGGCGGGTCCCGAACCATTCAGGACTTTGTAGGTAAGAATCTGCACCTTGAATTGGGACTGGTAAATGAATGGTAGCCAATGGAGCTCCTTAAACAGGTGCTAGGGCGGCTCCCAATTACCTTGTCATTTCTAGCAGCTATTCTAGCCTGACCTCTGTTTCCTTTTGCTATTCCAGAAATGTGGGCACTTGCAAGACCTCATCCTCTGATTCCCATTCTCCCTCTAATTCCTGAACACTTTCCTGCTCCCCTTCCTCTTCTGAAGATGAGAAATCCCTAACACCTGTGATGGGTAGTGGCAGGGAATGGGAACATGCCATCATGTTCCAGAGCAAGACCCTCTCATGTCATTACATTGGTTGGTTAGCTAGAGCTCCTGCAGTGACTTTGGCTGGAGGAAATCCTGGAAGATCACAGAAGCCTCCTCCAACTGTAGCCAAGGACCTCCATCATATGCTCAGGTTTCCTCCAAGTGAGGCTAAAGTTTCATTAGAATAATCATTCCTGTTCTCAGCAGGCACCTTTGTTTTGAGCATTGACAAAAGTAGGGTTCCCCCTGCTCCTGGGGAAACTCCATGTGCCACAAAGCCAACATCCCAAATTAAATGCCCACTGGAAAATTCTTCATTTCCTTGCAGAAAGATGCATCATTATTTGGATTAAGCCATGACACACTGGAATACGGCCAAGCCATGATAATGAGGTGGTATTTTGGTGATGATTATCATCATCATCACCATTTATTGAGGTGGTATGGCAGCAACAAGAACAAAAGACCTTCTGGAATGTGTTGCAGGCTGAGCAGTGGTTTCTTCCCTCCCTTCTCTTAAACAGCTGCTCAGTTGCCACAAGCTGAGCTGCAAGAACACCTGGTTAGGTCATTATGTCATTTCAATCTAGAGTCAGTCAGTCAAACCAGTGGGGGGCATGTTTCTTCTCTCCCTCAATGCATCTGGAATGATGCCAACACATCTGGAATGATGCATGTTCCAACTGGGGTTTTGTGAGAATACAAGATGGATAACAACAGCAGGTAAGTGGTTGAAGAAAATGGGGGCACTGCCATCTCAGCGTTCATAATACTTTACACACACAATCATTAACAGTTTTCCTTTTCCCTGATTCCCCCCCCCACTCCCGCCAGAGAAAAGCCTTCTCAGTCCCACTCAGTTTCCTGCCTACCTCCATTTCCACTCAGTCTCTTTGTCCTACATCTCTTCAACAGCTAGACCTTTCCAAGGCAGTTTGTCAACTTAATCTATCTTTGTCATAAACACTGGCTGCTCTTATATAACTTTAAAAAAATGTACTTTCATTAGGAAGTAATTAAGCTGCATGTTAATATAAATTTTATTTTCAGTCTTAAAAGATTAGACATTTTATATTTCTGAATCATCCGCCTTCACCCAAATATGAAGGGGGGGGGGGGGAACTAAGCCTGAACATGTGTAATCAGTCTTCTCTGTAATGAAAATTATGATTATATTTTTTAAAAATGGAAATGTCTTAAATTTAAAAAAAATTATTAGCTTTTTTTGTTGGCACTGTTTAAATTGGACACAAAATTACATATATATACCCTACTATGGATATAGTTTCCCATATGGGGGAAGAGTTTGTGATGTCTTTCTGTCATTCCTGCTCTCTGACAAGCAGTGACATCAGGAGAAAATGCTTCTGGAACATGGCCATACAGCCCAGAAAACTCACAGCAACCCAGTGACCCTTAACTTCATGTGAACAAAGGGGCATGTATATCTTGCAAGATGCTAGCTATTGCTTTTAACATGAGGTCTGTATGGGCTTTTCTTATATGTTTCCAGCCACCCTTCTTCCCTCCAAGGTTACAGCATCTGGGTAAGACTGGATATGTCCACATCAGAGTAAACAGCAACATTGATCACTGCACACACCTCATGGTCCCTTTCTCAAGTGGAACTGCTATAACATAATTTCCGGTTTGGGTTCCTACCACTTTCTGAGTGGCTTGGAGTTCCATCAGTTACATTACCCTTTTGCTTTAAAAACAGACTTTTCAAAGCTCTTGTTATAAATCACTGTCATCCTATATTCTATATTTAAATAATGTTTTGCTCTTTCATCTGGTTTGTCCTTAAATTCTGTAAGTTCTCTACTGTCCCCATTTTCCTCCTTGAATCAAGACCTCCTTATCTTATGCCACCTGCAGCCTCTCCCTTAGCAAATGTACAAGACTGCAACAGGTACACTGCTGTGGTGTTGTGTTCCGCTAGCACAAGGGATTGCAGGTACAATCCCATTTTACCTAGTAAGCATCTGTTGAGTACAGAATCAAGCTCTGTAAAATGTCCCAACTTACAGCAGTGCCATGAGCTGTCGCTCTTATCAAAGTGGATGAGCAAGGTGTGAAAACAAGCTGTGCGCCCACCAACTAGTTGTCCCACCTTGACAATTTGTTCAGAAGATGAATCATAGCCCTTGCTAGAGAGGTGAAGAAACTGAGGCAACAATGCAGAGAAGTAGTTTGCAATCATTCCCCAGGAGATCAGAAGCAGAATAGCAGAGTGGATCCCAGGGTTTTGTTTAGCTTTTTTCTCTGACAGAATCTTTCCTGTCATAATGAAAAATAAATGCAGGTTACATACCTCTCTCCATTGCTTCGTCTCTATGCCTTGAGTATACAGCACGCACACTGCAAAGGAGAAAGAAATTATAGGTCAGCTCTTCTGGTGGTATGGAGAAAAGAGTTTAGCAACAGGGGTCATACTGCAGACTATATTAGCCAGACACCTCAAGCTTCTCAGCAAACCCACTGAAGCCTATCTCCCCAGTGCTGATTTGAGAGTGGATTTTTGAAAATTGGAAAGCTACGGTCCGCTATCTCTTTTGTTCCTTTTTCACTACACTGATATCGTTTATTACCAGGTGTGCAAAAATAGCATCAAGACATCTCTTCTGTTTTTGTTGCACAAAGGAAAGCGTTCTCTCCACACATCTTCTGCTACCTTTCCACCTCCTTCTCCTCATGATCAAACAGACACCCCCCCCCCCAAATACATAACCTCAGGGTGTTTGCATCTTAGGGCCCTTCCACGCAGCCTAATAACCCAGAATATGAAGGCAGATATTTATTAATTTGTTTGTTTGTTTACAGTATTTATATTCCACCCTTCTCACCCCACAGGGGACTCAGGGTAGATCGCAATGCTCATATACATGGCAAACATTCAATGCCATAGACGCACAACATATATAGACAGACACACAGAGGCTATTTAACTTTCCAGCTTCATGAGGGTATGTTTTGAATTTCAGCCACTGGGGGACCTGTCACCTCACCATCCACTTGTGACACTGATGGAGTACTTTCTCATTCTTTTGCATGCTGTTGGAGAGTTTTATGGCCGATCCACAATATCTGCTTTGAACTGGATTATGTTAGTCTACACTGCCATATAATCCAGTTCAATGTGGATTTTATACAGCCATGTGGAAGGCACTTTAGACAAAGAATGTAATGGGAAATTGAAACAGATGCTTCTGAATAGGTATACTGATAAGAACAGATATTACATTTGATCTTAGCCAAAAAGTCTCTCGAATTGGTCACTGACTGTAATATAGTGAAATTGAACTTGAAATAGGTATATATTTTTCAACAGTAAGTACCATAGCATGCTGCTTAGTTCTGCAGCTCCTTATAACAGTTTGTGGCTGTGTGCCTTTCTTGCCGTTTCTGACATATAGCAACCCTAAGGAAACCTATCATTCAGTTTTCTTGGCAAGATTTGTTTGGAGGCTGAGAGAGTATGCTTTGCCCAAGGCCACCTTTCAGAATCATAGTCCAACATTCAAACCACTACACCAGGCCTGCACAACCTGCGGCCCTCCAGGTGTTTGGGCCTTCGATTCCCAGAAGCTCTAGCCAGCTGAAGTCCAAAACACCTGGAGAGCCGCAGGTTGTAGAAGCCTGCACTATGCTGTGCTAGCTCATAGACCTGGGGTGGCATGTCACCACTGGTTCACACTCACAGAAATCATGATTCAAGCAGCTTCCTGCCCCACTTCTAAAATGCGAATAACACATTTCCAAAATTAGGGTGTGCATTAGATTTGTATAATATGGTAATCTTAGCGCTGAGCCAAAGCAAATGTGGAAGCTACTTCAGGAGCACCTGGAGCTCCTATTTGAGGGACATCATCACTAATTTAATGGCCATGGTTCAATGCTATGCAATCCTGAAATTTGTAGTTTGGTGAGACATCAGCATTCTTTGGCAGCCCCCATGACCCCATTGCATTGAGACAGTTAAAGTGGATTCATTCTACAGCAAAGATGCACCCCAAGGGATTCTTTTCCATTGCTAAAAACTTTGGTGTCCTAACACTTTTGTTTTTAAAGAAGGAACTATAAGCAGACAACCACTGTAATGCACTCCTTCTTTTTGCCCAAATTACAAAGAGCACACAATTTACTGCTATGTATTACATTCAGCAGCAAATATTTTTTTGGTTTCAGGTTCTGAAAATTGAGGCACACATTAGATTTGATGGTGCATTATACTGAGTAAATACAGGTATTTCCTAGGGCTAAAACTACAACTCCCATGATTCCATACTATTGAGCTATGGCAGATAATAAAGTGGTGTCAACTTCATTAATTATGCAGTGTAGATGCACCTCTACATTCACACATTTAACTTCCCACAACCCCCCCTCACATATATATAGTACCCATATAAGTAAGGGGTTCTGTGAATTGCTGTCCAAAATTGCATCTTTTTTAACTACTCAGGAAAATTGCAGCAAGCTAAATGCTTACAGAGTATAGTGTTGTTGGTTTTGTCTTTTTTAAATGATAGGCACAAGCTTTCTTTTATAGAATCAGCTCAAAGTCTTTCCCTTGGTGTGCCTTCCCCCACCCCAACTCTGCCTTTTCCTTTTTTGAGGCTGAGCAGGAAGCAGCTTCAACTTCTTACTACAGAAAATTGAGAGTTATGATTTTGCAAAGAAACCACAGAAATCTGAAAAAAGATCTTAAGAGTGTCTTGTTTAAATTAGCCAATAAAAATACTTTCATTAATGTGCTTGGCTCCCTTTCAAATGTTCCCCATTACTAAAACACAGCAGAGATGTAAAGAAGATTAATGAGATTTTAATGAAGAGCTGCTCCACAGCACTGGCAAATGGGCAGAGAGCAAATGCTGCTTGACTGAGCTTTTGGGGGACTTTGCTGCTTGCCCTGCTGCTGCTTGTCTCTAAAGATGCTGGGCATATCAAAGAAAACAGAACTCTCCATATTCCTTGTTAATAATAAATGGTAGAACGTTTATGAATTTAACAAACTTGAAAGAAGGATTAGTTTCACCCATTTACATTGTTGTGACTTATGGCAACTCTACGGCAGATCTATCACAGGATTTGTTCAGTCTTTGCCTTCCTCAGAAGCTGGCTTGCCAAAGTTACCAAGTGTGTTTCAATACCTAAGCAAGGATTCAAAGTCTGGTCTCCAGGATTGTATCTGAATACTCAAAGCAATATATTACACTGGCTCTCATAGATAGATAGATAGATAGATAGATAGATAGATAGATAGATAGATAGATAGATAGATAGATAGATAGATAGATAATGTTTGTTTATGGGATTAACATAACTCAAAAACCACTGGATGAATTGACACCAAATTTGGACACAATACAGCTATCAGGCTAACAAGTGACCATCACTCATTAAAAAAACTGAAAAACACAGCACTTAAAAAGCCAAAAACCAAAAAAAACACATTACAATGCATGTTTAAAACCACATATATATACGCAAACACACATATATACATATACACAGAAATATATACACACTCAAAACACATCTACACAGACTGGGCCACAGCAACACATGGCAGGAGACAGCTAGTATCTAAATAAAAATGTAATGTTTGTTTGTGGGATTAACATAACTCAAAAACCACTGGACAAATTGACGCCATATCTGGACACAATACACCTATCAGGCCAATGAGCGACCATCACTCATAAAAACACTGAGACTTAAAAAGTAAAAAAAACCCCTAAAAATACATTACAACGCATGCACAAAACCACATATATGCACATATACATAAATATATACACACACATATACACATATATACACACATAAAACACATATACACAGACTGGGCCACAGCAACGCTTTGCAGGGGACAGCTAGTATATGTGTGTGTGTGTGTGTGAGAGAGAGAGAGAGAGACAGAGTAACTAATGCCTGCATATCTTAACACATATTCTGAGCCCCCAAATGTAAATAACAAGAATAAGAAGAAATAATAGAGGAAATATTTCAAATGTGGAAAATGGATATAGAAATTGAGAGGGATGATATCCAAAGGGAAATAACTAATATAGCAAAGGAAAAATATTATGTACTTAGGGAAGCAAGAAGGAAGATGTTACAAAAATGGTACATGACTCCAGCACAACTTTCATATTCTTTACCTGGGATAAAGGACAGGTGTTGCCGTGGTTGTAAACAAAGAGGTGTGTTTAATCACATGATACGGGAATGTGACAGAGTGCAGGCATATTGAAGAATGATTGAAGGAGAAATTAATAGAACATTATTAATAGAACATTAAATCTTCAAATCATAATAGCCAATAGAATGTATTACATGCAATGATACTAGGAGTGTCCTTGCATGTAAAGGAGTGTATAATGTGTAAAAAGAAAAGGTGGTTGACAAATTAATAGTGTGCGCTCAAATTGTTTTAGTGAGAGGCTGGAAAGATAAAACAAAGTGGACTCTGACAAATTAGTATAAATATATAGTAAATATGTTAAATGTGGAAATAACATAACTCAAAAACCACTGTAACATTGTAAATTAAACAATTTAGACAAAATGGAAAATGTTATAATAATTAAGAACATGTGGGATCCAGTTAGGAATTATTTAGAAAATGTGTTAAGATGTAGAGTGGAAAAATTGAGACTAAGACTGATATTTCAAATGTAATTTCTTTAATTGTATATCCAGGGGAGATGGGGGAGGGTGGGAGTGGGGTAAACTATATATATCACACAATAAGGGAAAAAAATCTTTAACTCCTTAGTCAACTTCCAACCCTTCACAGTTTAGGGTTGGAGTCAGTCCACAGCCTAGCACTACTAAATCCTCTTATTTTGACCAAAGTGATAATGGTCCAGTTCCAGTGCATGCTTATTTAGAAGTAGGCTTTGCACAGGATGGCAGGGGAACCATATATTTTACTATCACAAGTTGAATGCAATGAGCCTTTACAAAATATTTAGCTTTGGCTTTATCTTACATGCATATTTGCACATTTCCACAAATTTGGGACATTGTTTCTCAATTCTTCCAGAGCCGCCACAAGTTAAGAGAAAAAATTGTGTAACAAACCAAACATAAAACAGTAAAGTTATATAAATATATACGTACATGGATCTGATTTGGAGAATGTATCTTTATCCAGAAGATTCCTGAAATGAAGGCAAAGAAAAAAAGAGGGTGTTATGCAATAGGCTGGATGATAAACTTTCATGATAGAAACAGAGCTGGTCGATGTATCCCCACTTTTCTTCAATAATGGCACAGATTCTGAAGCTCATGACAAAGGGGCAACACTCATTTACTTTCTGAATCACACACCCTTCTGAAGTTGTAATGAGGGCTGAGCAGTAGAAGGGGATCCAAGGGCTGAAAAACCAAACATGGACTGGGCCTGCCATTAGGGAGAAAGAAAGACATCCCTCAGGAGATGGGAGAGAGGCATTGGAGGAGAGACTTCTTTTCGTACACTTCCTGTTGTGAATCACCTAAGCTAGGACTGAGGAACCTGGTGTTTCAGATTTTTTTCACCAGCTCCCAGAAGTCCACAACCATAAGCAAAGGTCATCATCATCATCATCATCATCATCATTTGTATACTGCCCTATCTTTCCAAGGGGACTCAAGGCAGTTTCCAACATATAAGGGAAAACATTCATTTGCCAGAAAGAAAAACCATACAGACAAATTAAAATAAATATCATAAAACATAAAATCCTACTAAAATGTATATTACAAAATTAAAAACCAATTCCATCATAGCTGAATCAGACAGGTTCAAAATACCAATGGCCAGGATTACAAAATAGACATTGTAATTATAAAAGGACTGGGCAAGGGATAGGTAAAGGAGTATCGGAGTTATAGTCCAAAACATACACAGGGTCAGAAGGCCCAGTCTCAGCTAACCAACTGCCTTCAAGTGTGATAGAGAATGTGATCAACAATGTGGCTCCAACAGCCCTATGTACATTGAAAGGATCTCATCTTGTTCTTTACTTCAGGCAACTATACATCCAGGTTTGGATTGCCCTGAGATCAAGTGAAGGAATGCACCAAACCAAGGTGGCATTCCAGATGTTGGCAATGACTTATCTTACACAGAAAGACTAGGAACTATTTATTCTTAATTATTGGAGAGAATTAATAATGAATTCAGGAAAACTGCCAGACATCTTGACCCTCCATGTACTGAATTATTTATACCAATGCATTCCTATTAAACTTCCATTATCACTGCCATCCTCATACATTAACATTACTTAAGACCGAGGCCCCTTCCACACAGCTGTATAAAATCCACTGAATTATTTGGCAGTGTGGACTCAAATAACCCAGATCAAAGCAGATATTGTGGGACTTTTTGCCTTGATATTCTGGGTTATATGACTGTGTGGAAAGACCACTAGAAGACTGGCTGGTTATATGGCTATTTGTCGGGGGTGCTTTACATGTGATTTTCCTGCTTCTTGGCAGAGGATTGGACTGGATGACCTATGAGGTGTCTTCCAACTCTGTTTCTATGGTTCTATGACGCTTTCCAAATCAGACATAGGGCACAATTTTTGCTAGTAGTACGGTGTAATCCACATACTATCACTTTTCAAAAATGCCCTGAGTATAGATGGATCCTTGTGAATATCGAAAACAGGTGCAAGAACAGTGTGATATATAATAAATGAACCTTTAAACTTTTGTGGAACATTTGTCTTTACCAGAATATGCATAGATATTTATTTGTATTTCAAAGCTTTTCCTTCTACAATCAAACTTTACAATATTAAGCCATGAGTCTCAGAGTTCTTCACAGCTGCGTTCAGTGTCTTTTGGGAATGTAATGGCCTCTATTTCTCCAACTACCACTTGCCAATGTGGGCAATCCAAAATTATTATCATACGTAATAACCCTTTTCTGGGAGCTGTCCAGCACTTAGAGTTTTGAATGAAGTTCAAAAAGGCTGCAAGAAAGATGTTACCATAAAAGTCAGTGAGATCTTTAGCTAACTTGGATGAATTTTGGATTGGGCCCTAATGGCAGAGAGTGTCAGCAATGAATAGAGGCGATAATGAGGGATTAGAAAGTGCTTAATAGCATTCCAGCTTCAGAGCCAGGACTCCTGCGAATGCTTCTTTCAATAGCTTATCTTCAAAGCGTGCAAGAGCACCAATTAAATGTAAGGAGATATACAGCCTGAGTGCAGAGGGAGCTTGTTTCAAATCCTTGGCACACTCGATCCAGGAAACAATATTTCATGGGTTTAGAAGAAAGAAGCTAAACTTCAGGGATTGCAGCAGCTCAGGCGGCCACATTTGAGCAGGAGAGAAAGCTGCTCTGAATCAGCACAACAGTATGGAACAGTAACTAGGGAAACAGAAATAAGACTTGTGTGTTTCCCTCTGTATGGTTATTGCCAAGAGAGTAGAGAAAGGGTGTCGGCACATTGCAATATTATAGCTGCTTGATACCACTTTTATTGCCACAGCTCCATCCTATGGAATCTTGGGCATTGTAGTTTAACAAAGTGCTTAGAATTTTCTAGTGCACTTCCCTAAACTACAGCATTAGAGCTCTCTGGAGGGCAATTCTAAATATCTTGCCAAACTGCAAATCCCGTGGCTCCAAAGCATGGATCCATACCAGTTAAAGTGTTATCAAAGCACTATAATTGTACTATTTGTTGTCATTTTTTATTTGTTCAGTCGCTTCTGACTCCTTGTGACCTCATGGATGCAGCCCATGCTAGAACTTCCTTCTGGCCGTCACCACCTCCAGCTCTTTCAGAGTCAAGCCTTGGTCGGCCCCTCTTCTTTTTTCCTTCCATTTATAGTACATATATAGTACATAATTGTACTATAAAGCACTATGAAGATGCAGCAGTGCTATTGCAGGGGACAAAAAGCATTATGGTCCTGATTATGGTCAAACATGAAGAATCTGAGGCTTCAGAGTATGGATAAGGAGCTACTAATTACTGAGTGACTCACCCACTCATTCATTCATTCTATACATTCAAAACATTAAGAAGCACCTTGAGGACGCTGATTTATCCCCTTGACTAGAAGAAGTGACATTTAGCAATTAAGAAAGGAGGGAAAGTCAAACATACTGCCCTGTTATTCTCATAGGTAATGAAGCCAGAGAGACAAAGAAGTTCTGGAAATCCATCAGTCATTGGCTCCAGAGCTGAGAAGTGCAAGGAGATGATTTATGTTAGTATCTGGAAGCAAACAATGTCTCCCTAAGAGGAGAAAATGTCATTACAGATAGGTCTCTACTGTACCTATTTGCACATATGGTTTGCAGTAGCCCACATCTTCTCATTCTCAGAAATGGGGAAAGGGTTTATACGGCCAAAGTTGTTGTCAACTGCCATCATGTTGACTTTGATTTAGGATGACCAGATGAATGAGAGACCTCCTGGTCCACCTATCACTCAGGTCTTCCAGACTCTCTGATTTGAATCTATCCATCTGTAATGCTATTTTCCTTAAGCATTATTGTATTTTCCAGTAAGACATGTCTTCTCATGATATAATCAAAATATGTCAGTCTCAGTTTAGAGCACAGCCCTGTTAGTTTGGATCAGTGTTAAATGGGATCTTTTAGCTCCTTTGAGATTAACTGAGATATACAAGTTGGTAGCACAAACTTTCAAAACAAATGCCTCACTTTAATCATATGGAGCCCTCGGTGGTACAGTGGGTTAAACTTTTGTCCTGGCAGGACTGAAGACCTACAGGTCACAGGTTCGAATCTGGGGAGAGCACGGATGAGCTCCCTCTGTCAGCTCCAGTTCCCCATGCGGGGACATGAGAGAAGCCTCCCAAAAAGATGGTAAAACATCAAATACATCCAGGCTTCTCCTGGGCAACCTCCTTGCAGATGGCCAATTCACACCAGTTTCTCAAGTTGCTCCTGACATACATACACACACACACACAAACTTTAATCATATTGGGTTCTAGGTTTGATTTGGTCTAGGCTCTGTTTATTTGTCTTTAGAAATTCATTATATCCATAAAACTGTTCTCCAGCACCACATTTCAAATGGATTAATTTTCATCCTATCACTTTTCTTCACTGTTTCAAAATCACCCATAGAAATTAGAATATTCAATTATATATCTTTATATTTGAGTTTCTTGTCTAGTTCCTTCATAGTTGTCATTCCAAGTCCTAGTCCTCTGATTTATTGAATGTTGTATCCATTCTGATTAATATAGGTGTGCAAATCTTGAATTCCAATGTCTTCATCATCTGTTTTACAGTTATGTAATTCACACATGGCCATTATTTTTGTTTTCTTCATATTCAACTGCAAATCTCCCTTTGAATGTTGTTCTTGGATTTTCTTTCTGGAATCTGCAGGAGTCTTTGCAAATTTTTGCTAGTAGTACGGTGTAATCCACGTACCCTAACTTGTTGATGTTCCTTTCTCCAATTTTCATGCCTTCATCCTCCAAGTCTAATTCTGTTTCACCCATGATGTATGCAGCATACAAATTAAACAGATAAGGCAATAAAATGTAGCTTTACCAGACCCATTGAAGTGTTTTCCATATTTGTTGACAGATTTAGTTAGAACTGGAGTAGATTCTGTTTCAGCACCTCTATTGTATGCCATCTGTTTATGGTGCTCTGAAGGCATCTCCCAGACACTCAGAGGTCAACTTCCACATCACTTTCTAAAACTGAATCTTCATCAACAAATGGTTCTTCCTTGAATGAGCCATTCTTTCATCTCTTTTATATGTTTTTCATCAATTTCTTCAGTGTATTGTTTCCATCATCTTTTTTTTAGTTTTGTTATACCTGGTTCCTTTGATGGTCACAGGAGCATCCCCACTCTTAGTTTAAATTCCCCTTTGATTTCTTGAATCTTGTGGAAGAGGTCTCTTGTTTTTCCTTTTTTGTTATCATGTTTTGTTTCCCTCCTTTGACTAGTATAGAAGTTCTTCTTGTCCTACACAAGTTACTGAGCAGTTTCATTCAGGGTTCTGACTCTATTTGTCACTTTTTACATTTGTTATGCCTTAACTTCTTGAGGAGTTTCATCTCTCATCCATTGAGACATCTCTTTTTTTGGATGAAGATAATGTTATTTTGCATTTCTTCCAGAAAATGTCACTGACTTCAGTCCAGAGTTCTTTT